TCATATTCCAGCTTTATATCAAACTTCCTAGCGTTGCTTCAGATAAGGCACGTTTCATTCGATTTAGTGGGCGTTATATATAAGTGTAAAGTGATTTCTTTAGATTTTACACATTGGTGTTCAACTAGCCAGTGTTCGCCGAACATTGTTCAAAGCGGAAGTGAACGCCAGACTTATCTAGAGCATGTTGTAGCGGGAGTAAAGCGAGTAATAGAAAATCCTGAGAAACTGACTGAGCAGGTATTCCTTTGATATTATGTAAATTTTGTTTGATATTTCAGTTGATCCAGATATATAAAGAGTATCCGGATATCCAGATATATGAAAGAATAGCGTCGTAGTCTCACACGTAGGGTTTATGCTTTGATTGAGTGTAACGTGGTGTAAGCTTTATCTTTTTCTGATTGACTTTTGCAGGTTGGCTTCGTCCACTATTTCGCCTTGTTCCCTTCAACCACTCCCTGAAAAAATTTGCAGCGCAGAGAGCTCTATGTAGGTTCGCTTGCTCATGACTCCTGAGCTTAAAGGAGGATTGCACGGAAAGAACGAAGGTCGAAGAAGGGAGAAATCGCCTAGTGGGGAGAGCGGTGAATCTCTTGAGGGTGCGGACAGACACGCAATCGGCATCGAAAGATTTGACCTCTGAGATCTAGCATGGCTCAAAGTTGGCGAGTTCGGCGATCTCCGCCCACCGATCGTCTGATCACTCGCCGTAGTACAATAGGTGGCGAGTGATTAGATAGCTGAGAGAGCGTAGGGTTGAAGAGGGCAAAGCGATGAGAGTCCCATCAATGCTCAAATCAACGGACAAGGAAGGGGTCCCATTTCTCCGGTTCTGGGCCGTTTTTCGTGGTTTCGCTTTCTTTCTGGTACTACTCACCATCTCTACCTCAATTTGGAATGGGTTGCTTTTCCATCGTAATCTCTTTAAGTACACGTTGTTCGATAAGGTTTTAAAAATATTGTTTCCGATAGTTTTCTGTCCAAAATTTTTTTAAGAGTTGCGGATTCTCCTCTTTCCTGTCATGGAATTATAACTCGTCACGATAGGTGTTTTGTGGGCTTTTTTTGTTATAGTGAAGTTTTCAGCCTGCGTTCCACGAGTTCTGCAGAATGGTGTCTCGTTTGAAGACCAATTTCCAATTGTGCGAACTAATAAAAGTGCCTGATTATGCTGCTGTTATGCGCCTGCTAGCACAATTCACTGTGGAAAGCCTGCGGGTATTCTTTTTTCTTGTTTCTGTTTTCTTCCACCGTCTGGGAAAGGCTTCTCAGTTCTTTCAATTCTGCCTTTCTCAATTCCTCAGCTGACTTCAGATGATGGATCTTTCCGCAAACAGTACCTATTTTTCTGCTGACATTTTGGCAACGCATGGTCACTTCTGTTCCATATGTTCGCAGCAGTGAAGATCATCTACTTAATCTGTGTTGCCCTGAGATTATGACGGCGTTTGTGGAGAGCCGATTGCAGAACGTTGAAAGAGTTGTGAGGTACATTCCTATCGATCGAGTTCTTATTATCATCTTTCTTCCGCAGACACTGAAGATATGTGATATGTTTAGTCATTCTGGTAGTATTACTGATATTGATTTATTCGATATCTCAAGAAAAATATTGCAGAGACGGCCATGATGACCCATTGGAAGATCAAGGAGAGACTTTGGTTTCTCAAATTCAATGGGGGGCACTTAAGCGATTATAGTGTGATGCGAGTATGCGAAGTGCTCAACTGTGCAAACGCTTTCGACGAAAATGCGAGAATTATGGAAGCAGGACCAGAGGGGGTTGGTTTTTTTTTCGCTGAAGCTGATTCTTCTCGGTTTTTTATTCATTGATCTGCTAAGTATTGGATACTATTTGACGAAAGTTCTTGATTATTCATGAAGGGAGGTTTCTTCGAGGCTATTTCATCCAAAGTGTGATGAAATATATCAGCTTCTTCTTCTCTGTACTGAATCATCTTTTCCGTCATTGATCTTGTCATCTTTCCAGGATATTCGAGTTGTTATCGCGGAAGGCAGCTTGTATGGTTGGTAACATTGATTGGTACTGCAGTTTTTGGAAAAACGGCTGTGTCAAATAACGAGGAGCACGACAAAATGGATGGAGATCTTGTGGCGAGGTGGGGGTTTTTTTCTTGTAATTGACAATAGTCATGTTGGTAAGCCTATATATTGGTATACCTATCTCGTGATCAAGTCGGGTTACCATACATTTTTAGGTGCCTAAAATTCATGCGAATCAGTGACAATCGACTTATCTTTCCTACAACAGTTAACGCCAATCCAGGGAAAGAACTGTTGTCTCGAGCGTATGGCCAAGAGGTTTTCTATTAAGTGATTATCACGTTTATACGTTAACTAGCTCCCTGGAGTTGTGTTTGCGGGGCGTAAGGGCGCGCTAGAAGTATACAGATCGACGCATCGACTGGCACTATGTGATTTTGCCTTGAACTCTTATTCAAGACACGTTCCACTAAATCTTTGCTTATCTGATTTCTTTTCATCCAGTCGAGAAGTACTAGTCAAGAGTGGATTTATACGTTTTCTTAGACGCAATGGGTCATGGACGGTCTAACGGAAGGAGTCGATAGTGCTGGAACGCGGCATCCGCCACAGTTGTTCGATCGAAATTCTGAGTATTAAGGGCCATCGTGTTCGTGTTACGGGGGTGTACGCGATGAGAGATCACATAAGGGCCGTTAATCCCCCACTAAGATACGGATGCTTGCTAACTTATATGCGATTGAAAGGAATTCTCAGTATTCCCTTCACCTAAGGAGCTGAATAGCCTTTGTAATGGCGGCGTCAGAGCCTTTCTACACAAGTGGTCGTTTTTTTTTTTTGCCCTAGGATCAAGAGATAGCGAGATACTGTGGGGGAGGAGCTCCCAGATATGGTAGCCGCTGCATATACTCAGAAACACTGATGTACGTGATGTTCCACCGCTCATTTATCAACTAGTTACCTTGATGAGCGTATTGTCAAGGTTCATTCTTACGCGTAGCTATCCGTAGCCTCCTTTGACGCTCTGTACTCGCTAGACGCGGCAGAGAAAGAATTATGACTCGACTCCTAACTCTATTTTCACCTCACTTTCTATCTGCTAAATTTCTCTCCGCAGGAGAAAGACTATAACTAAGTGAAAAATATACGCGTTGTATTTCACAGATCACACAATTGAAGTGCTAATTTGCCATCAGTGAATGCTGAAATGGCACCAAGTAAGATAATATAAGGCACAGAAGAATAATATACTCTTACCTGTTCGCCAGATTGTGGGTACTTGAACAGTATAATTATCTTCGCTAGTTTCGTCAGACAGGCTTCCAATGAAGTCAAAGAGCAGAGTGTTCAAGCAGAGATCAAGAACCGCAAGAACAAACGGCATCTGAGGTACGAACGCTTAAAAATAATAGAGCGGGAAAGAATAGACTTAATTACCTGCAAAGAAGCAAGATCCTTTCGTGAAATAGCCTCCAAGAGCGACACGGAGGTTTCGAAAATTTCAAAAATGTGGGAGTCACGGAATAGAGCGATGCCTTTTCTGTGTTTATTCACTGATTCCATCCCTGCTTGCTAAAACAGAAAGGAAGATTTCAATAAAAGAACAAGCAATATTTAGCTGTAGTGTACTAATTAAGGGGACCAGGAACTAAAAAATGTATAACTGCTATCGTAAGTTGCTTCCAGAAAACGCTCAAAGAACTAGACAGCACTTTTTTGTAGTCCACAGTAACTATCTCTGCAAAACAAAAAAAATTTCCCCTACTTACGCTGAGCAAAATGGGAAGGCTGGGCTATTAGTCTCGCACATTTAGTCGGTTTACCGCTACAAAAAGCCCGCCGAAGCCTATTTTCAGAACGACTGTCTATTATACCAATTGAAATCACTGGAGCTCAAAGAGGAAAACTCTTTGTGTTAACAGTACAAAGCTCTTCGGAGCTTAGCAGCCACAGGAAAAGAATGGCGAGGTACGACTGGTGATTGAGCTCCCAGTATAGCACAGTAACAAAGAGACTAACCGAATTGAAATCATTTAGAAGCGTAGACAGGAGCTGCAAAGCGAGCATACTTTGACTTCCGCCATTCTGAAACAGCAAAAGGTACACTTACTTAATGCTATCGCTATGTATTGAGTAGTCTCTCTAAGACGGATCGGTCTATAGTTAATTCAAGAAAGTGTAATGTTTGTAGAATCCGATTCTAAACATTTTCGCTTAAAGTTCGTACGAAACACTACTAAGCAACAATAGAAAACAGCGTAAACTGTAAATAAAATTCCAAAAACTTACGATATCTATTGTAGCAATCAAATCAGAGATTGGAGCATGGAAAATATGTTGGTCGTTGTTATCTGTGTACGTCCACTCTTGTTTTGTGATTCTTGCGAACAGCTGACATAGAGATGAAACTATGAACGGTGGAAGGGAGGCCGAGCGTGTTCCGAGCAGATT